GTCGCCCAGACTGGAGTGCAGTGGCCGCTCCCGGCCACCGCAGCCTCGACCTGCTGGGCTCCGGCGATCCTTCCGCCTCAGCCTTCCAAGCAGCCTGAATTACAGGCACGCGCTACCACGCCCGGCTGATTTTTTGATTTATGGTAGAGATGAGGTCTCGTTGCCCAGGCGGGTCTCGAACCCGCGGGCTCAGGCCATCCACTCACCTCAGCCTCCCAAAGGCGCGGGATTACGGGCTGAGCCACCGAGCCCGGTTCCATAATCTATAATTCTAACATCCCTTTCTCTTTGCCTCCTTCACACAAAAACCATCTACCATGTTATCTTCCCCGGAGAAGACCTGCTGTGGTCTCCATCTTAGTAGCAGGCAAATTCACGAATCCCTATTTCCGGAGGGACTGTCTTCAGCCTTCGCTCTTAATCCAGGGATGGTCCTCCTTACCAGTCTTTTTAGTGACCACCACACACATGCGGTTTATGCAGAAAATCAAGGATGAGGTTTATATAGGAGTGGCTTAATTATATGAGGTCCATGCAAATAGGAGGCGCAAAAAGAAAAAGACAGAGAGTGAGCGAGAGATTGAGGAGGAAGGTGAGGGGCGAGAGAGCCAGCGAACGAGAGCGAGAGCGAGAGGTATCTTGACAGAGTGAGACAGACGTAGCAAAAGCCTGCAGACAGAAAGAGAAAAGACAAGGCGTAGCCAGAGAATGGACCCGGCTCTAGAGGGAGAAGAGCAGCAGAATAAATGAGTGGTTACTTTGCGACCTGCCTGGGCAATTTGGCGAGACCTCATCTCTACCATAAATCAAAAAACTAGCCGGGCGTGGGAGCGCGTGCCTGTGGTTCCAGCTACTCGGACGGCTGCGGCGGAAGCATCGGCGGAGGCCGGCCCGTCGAGGCTGCGGTGGCCGGGAGCGGCCGCTGCGCTCCAGTCTGGGCGACGGAGTGAGATTCCGACTCAAAAGATAAATACATAAAAAAAATAAATGAGTGGTTAAAACCAACAAGATAATAAAAGGTTGGATTCCTGTTTACCTTTTTCTTTTATACTCCAATGAGCAAGTGCCACAGAGCTCATTTATTAACATCTGCCCAATACTTCTCCTCTGTTGAGAACTTGCACCCATGCCAACTCTTCCCAACATCCAGTGGGGAAAGTTGGGCTCACATCCCAGCCCTCTTTTGCTCTTTACCCCTCATACAGGCCCTAACTACCCAACCAAGGTTCTTTCCTAGTCAACAATTTTTGCCTTTGCCTTACCTTCCTAACAACAGTTAATGTTCTTTCCTGTTATAATACTCTAGTTCCGTTTTTATTCTACGTGTAACTTAGATTTTTTTCTTAAACCAAAGAGGCAGATGGCCTATTAATCGTACTCACCTATTCAGATTTTTTACTCTCCCCTCCTTTTTTTTTTTAAACTAGCTCTTCACCCTTGTTCACTTCTTCTCCAGTGGATTCCCAGACAACTTTATTGGTTTTATAGGCCATAATGATGGTTGATAAGTTTGAGGACCAGATCCCAAGAGTTTTGTTAAATATATTTTCTTAATGTAGGCTGAGATAGTGAGAATGATCAGATTCGAATAATTAAATTGGATAGAGAATTGAGTAATATGCTGGATCAAGATGAGATATAGTCAACTGAGCAACCAAAATCTTTTATATATCTATGGGATTTTCATATCTATGGGGTGTTAGAGACTTCGTGTATGCAGACAAGAAGAGATTTAAGTGAAGTCTTTAAAAAACCCACTCATTTTGTTTTTGTTCAACAAATACTCATCTAATTCTCATCTGCACCAGGACTGTGCTGGACAATAATATCACAGTGCATATGGTAGACACAGCCCTACCCTACGAAGCTTGCACTTGGTAATGAAGGTGGACTTTAAATAGATAGGCCACAAATAAAGTATGTAGTAGCAGTTACTCAACACATCATTTTGATTACTTAAAAGACAGTATATATCTCTAAGCACCTTACCTTTCTCCAAAAAAACATAAAGAGGTATCTGTTAATTTCATATTAATATTGAGATGCCACAGTAAAAAACGCTCAGTGGATATAGCATACATATATATGCAAATTTTGAAATCATTTTAAATATTTTGTTTCTTAGGCGATATAGTATTACTTTTGGGAAAAAAAATGGATTCAGGTGGTCCTGGTATAGATTCTAATACTAACTGGCTATGTTACCTTGAGCATGGCATTTAAATTTTCTGAATCTACTCATTAATTTACAATATTGATGTAAACACTTAATGAAGTCATTTACAAAAAATGTCCTATAGAATATTTTCATATAGCGTGATGAGTTAACATTTGACAAAACAATCACAGTGTTTTGATGCACAACCAAATTTTCCTTTGGCAGATATATTTTAAAATATCCCTCTCTCAAAGTTTGATCCTGAAATGGATTTTAAGGGAAGAGAGAAATTTCACCCTATGGATTTGTTTCTAAAAAAGCTGTTGTACTAATATTTGTGCCAAACAATTTTTAGTAAAGTCAACTCAACAGAACTTTAAGTGGCTACTATTGATATGCCAAATATGAATAGTTTTTTCAGGTCAAAGAAGTTTAAAATCTTTCAGGGGAATAAGATCAAAATGCTGAAAATAATAATTATTGATTTTTTTCTTTGAGTGGCCTGCAATTTATTTTCCTTACAGCTTCTTTCCCCAACAACCTCAGAGAATGGGACAGAGACAAAGTGTATCAGTTAGCTATTGCTGCATAACAAACTACGCCCAAACTCAGTGATTTAACATAATCATTTCTTCCCAGTAATGTATCTGCAGGTCAACTGAAGGTCAGCTGGACTTGACTTTTTGATATGGGTTGTGCTCAATTATGCTTCATGTGTATTCATTCTAGGGCACAGAATAAAAGGGCATCAGCTATCCAGTGAGAAAACTTTTTCATGGCAATAGCAGAGGCATGAGCATGCAAGCAAAAATACATGAGATTCTTATAGCCTAGGTCTAGCCCTGGCAGCTATTACTTCTGCCCACAGGTCATTGCCCAAAATAAATCACATAGTAAGATCCAAAGTCAAGAGGCAAGGAATGTTGAACATAAGTGTTTCATGCCTGAAATCCCAGAGCTTTGGAAGGCTGAGGTGGAAGAATCACTTGAGACCAGGAGTTTGAGACCAGTCTAGGCAAAGCAGCAAGACTCTGTTTCTAAAAAAAAAAAAAAATTCTGGGTGTGTGGTGCACCAGTGACTTGGGAGACTGATGTGGGAGGATTGCTTGAACCCAGGAGTTCTAGGCTGCAGTGAGCAATGACAGTACCTCCGCACTCCAGCCTGGGTGACAGAGCAAGATCCTGCCTCCAAAAATAAATTCAAAAATAAAATAAAATGAAAAAATACTACACTCTGCTTCTAAAGTGTAAAAGACTACATTGTTACCTGGCAAAGAGTAGAGATTTAGGAAAGGATGATTAAGTGGAGCCAGAAACTCATCCTACTACACTAAAGTAGTCCTGTACTTGTGCAGGACAAGTACACCTAGATCTCATTTTAAAGAATTTTTTACCATATAGGTCAATAGTAAAGAAAGAAGAAAATGGTAAGAAAGCATGATCCAACTGTGAATATCTCCATTAGGCACATTTCTAATACACCTTTCAGAGTTTTGAAAGATTCCCTTGCTTAGTTGTTAAGCACCACTGGATAGTATTTTGAATACTTCAGGATAAACTGTTTCAGTGAAGCTGAAATGTACTAATTTTTGAATACTTAGCCATCTGGAGCATTAGATGCTTAATTACAGCTGAAAACTCATGAATGAATAGTATGCAGCAGTTTTTCTTCCCAGTGGATCCCAATTTTGCTTTTCTTCATTCTCAGGAGAGGAAAAGAACCGCTGCAT